CACAAATTCCCCCAGCTGTGAGCCTTCCAACCTTCTAAGTATTCCTTTATATGTGGTTCAGAGTTCTGGGACCATCCCCTGAGCCTGCTTGGTCGGGTATTCTGTGTTGTTGTTGGTGGAGTTCTCTGCTATATGTCCACCCGATCCGCCATCTTGTTTGTTCCTCCCATAATGACACTTTAAACAATACCTTTAAGCAGGCTCTGAAGCATGAACATACTATTGTCATAACCACCTTGGTCCTTGGCCCATCTGGCTCAATAGCCAACTTGAAGACTACTTTCTATCCTTCTACCACATGCCTGTCAAACCACAAAAAAGGGTTTGCCTACAGCGAATGTATAATAAAGCCCATTCATAACTGCCAAGTCAGAGGAAGCCAATAGAGGAAGCCACACAACTCCCATCTCAAATAGTAGATTTAAGGTTCTCTGGGAAATGATTCATTAACTAGCAACAACTTAGAGAAATCACTTAACAGTTTCAAATCTAATATAAATCTGCATGTTTATAAAGAATACATAGGTATAGAAATGACTACCATGAACTCTCTGAAAGATCTGTTTTGAAGACAAACTGTATGCAATATTTTCAAAGCATTAAAAGAGAGAGTGGATAGTTTATTCTCCAAACGTGCCAATCCTAATATGCTCGCCTGGTAATGAAACTACAAAGAATTTCATAGGAAATTCTAACAAGTTTAAGACATGCCACCAGTATATGCTGATGTTTTCTGAAAAACAAATCGGTAGCTGGAATAATCTTCATGAATTAGAAAAAGTGTAAAAGCAAAAGAGGGGATGGGTTTCCATATAGAAAGTTTGAAAGCTAGATCTCTCATCAAGAGACACAAAGGTTAAATAAAATACAACTTAAAACATGAAAAGTTTCTTTCATGACAAACAAAAGATACCACAACTTATCTAAGTGCAGGAATTTGATAATCTGAAAGTCATAAATCCTGAACTTCACTCCGAAAACGAAACTGCTAATGTTATTTTAAGGAACTTACTAAAATCTTCTAGGAATCCTAATAAGGGGTCCTGGTGTAGTGATGTAGGATAAGCACTGGACCAAAAGCAAGGTTGGTGATTCAAATTCTCCAGTCGCTTCTCAGAAACCCTATACAGGATTGCTATGACTCGGAACAAATTTTACAGCACTTAACAACAATGACTTGGAACTAACTAACAACAAAAGGTGGCGCTATGGGTTAAGACATTTGGTTGCTAAGAACAACGTTGGGGGTTCCAACCTATCAGTCATTCTGAGGAAGAAGAGAATGTCTGCTTCTATAAAGACTTAGTTTCAGAAACCCTAAGGAACAGATCTACTCTGCCTTATTAGGAATCAACTTGATGGCCGTGGGTTTTGCTTCTACTCTTCAAAGTGTCACAGTAAAGATCAAAATTCTCATTGGTCAACATCACCTGCTCTCCACCACGCCTAACTTTTACACCTCCAAAACCTAGCTGTCCTTTTTTTTTTTTTAATTGCAGTATTATTTATTGCTTTCTTTCAATAAAGTACTAAAGCATTTTCCACTGCCAATAAAAATGTTGAGACTCAAATGTATCAATACTTCTACAGACTTTCCTATTCATTGCTCAAAAGCATATGTGGCTAGTGAAAATACCATGGTTTGGGTCAAATAGCTGTCTTCCAAACTTCTTGGCATAGCGGTGTGAATGCCTACAGTTTGCTGAAAGATTTAAATATTTATTCCATCAGTTCGCAGAGCCTTGTTCTTTGCCAATTTCTTCAGTGCACCTTGGACTTCTTCATTCAGTAGAACTGGCTCTTGATCATATGCTACCTCTTGAAACCGTTGAATAGCTACCCCCTGTTTTTTTTTTTTGGGGGGGGGCGGTGTTTTACAGTGACTCTGTGTGTTCCTTGCATCTTCTTTTGATGTCATTCAATATTTTGCCCAAAGAATCCTTCAGTATGCATGGTTTACTAGTTAGAGAGGACATAAAGGATACAATGACATCTCTTCTATTAGTTAAGTGCTGTCGAGTCGGTTCCAACTCAGAGCAAACCTGTACAGGGTTTCTGAGAATGTAAATCTTTAAGGGAATAGAAAGCCTCATCTTTTTCCTGCAGAATGGCTGGTAGTTTCAAACTGCTGTGAGAATATAGGCCCGAATCATAACCAGTACGCTACCAGAGTTTTATGTTTTTGTTGTTAAGTGCCGCTGAATCAGTTCCGACCCATAGTGACCCTGTATAGGGTTTCAGGAGTAACTTGTTGAGTTTGAACCGCCGACCTTGCAGTTCAAACAGCTTTGCAGTTTGGCGCATTAACCCACAGCTCTGCACCAGGATTCTAGTTCCCTCCAAAATGAAGGTTATTGCTGTTGCAAGTGCCATTGAGTGGGTTCCAACTCATAGTGACTCTGTAAAGGGTTTCCAAGGAGCAATTAATGAGTTTGAACCACCAACCTTGTGGTTCAAAACAACTTTGCAGTTCAGTGCATTAACCAGCAGTGACACCAGATGGACCATAAATTACTACCCAGAACAGGTGTTTCTATTTTCTTTATACACCAAAAATAGAAGAAACTAATATATCCGACTTTAGCAGCAACAACTTATAAAGCAGGTGGCAAGTAATAAATCAAAGTACTGTTGGAATTTCTTCACTCTATTAGTACATATCATTAATAAGGTCACATTCTTACCAACTGGTTTAGGGCATACCACACCATCCCGATTGTCTTAAAGTTAACTGACTCATTTCAACTGTGCTGGGTACAGTTATCAATGGCTGACATTTTAAAAAGCAGATTGTTAGGTCTTTCTTGCAATGAGACTTAGAGTGAAGTCAAACTGACAGCCTCTTGGTTAACAGCTAAGCATTTGGACTGCTTGTACCACCCAGGGACTCTGGCTTGGAGATGCTGTTGTTGTTAAGTTCCAATAAATCGGTTTCAATCAAAGCAGACGTGTATAGGGTTGTCGAGACTGCAAATCTTTATGGAAGCAGAAAGCCTCATCTTTCTGCTGTGGAGCACTGGTGGGCTTGAACCTTCAAGTGCTCACTGTTAAGTACTGGGAACTCAGTTCGGACTCTTTCCACCCCTATAAGGGGTTTCCAAGGAGCAGCTGTTGAATCTGAACCACCAACCAGGCAGTTCAAGCTGACCATGTGGTCTAGTGCTTTATCCTACAAACCAGGACTCCACACAAGGCTTGGGGCATAGTTACTTCTAAAAATAGTATACTACAGCACTTTCTATTTATAGACTTCAGTGCGTGTATTATGCATTTCCAAAGAAGACGCAAAGAACTTAGAATCCTTGTCTACTACTAAGGGTTAGTTTTAAAACAAAAAACTGAGGATGTTTTCCAGACTTTTCAAAGAAATTTCACAGTAAAACATTAGCCACACAACTCTTAATTTATCAAGAAGCTTGTTTAAAATATTTTGAATAATCCAAATTAGCACTGATTTATTCTTCCATAAAAATTTCAAGGATATGATATAAAATCAACTACATAAAGGTCCAACACTTATCTTTGAAAACTATGCTTTTCTGACTAAAAGCGAACTCACCTTAGGTTTTCATCTAGTAAGTTAATTTTGTTAACGTGAAGGATTTCTTCAAGACCCAAACGACTCTGATTTTCATTGATTGTGCACTCAGAAACCTCGGTGGATACAACTTCACTATCAGTTCCAATTTGAGAATTTGGCTGAAAATGACAAAATACATTAGTTTTGCTTTTGCTTTTTTGTTTTTAATGGCAGAACATAGCCCTAAAATATTTCATTCATGAGAAAGGGTATTTAGTAAAACTCATAGTGGGTAGTCAGTATTCATGTTTTGCTGCCCAAAATAAACTGCTTGGATAACATGATTCATTCAATAAGTTTACAGAATATTTTCAAACTACAACAGTCAGCTGTTGTAAAACAATCAAACAAATAAAAGCACATAATTTTTTTTTTTTTTAAAGAGAGTCTTTTTGATGTTTAAATAAGGATTACAATCACTTTGAATCTAAGCTTTTGCTTTGTGACACAGAAAATCAAGAGTAGTTGAAATAGACATTTGAAGGCATTAAATACTTCAGATTTTTTTTTCTAGTATCAAATGGTCCATCAATAAGAGAGTGGTCAAACCTGGAAGAATAACAAGGAAGCTGCAAGCCACTGCATAACATGGATGAATCTTGAGGACACTGAGTGAAATTAGTCAGCCACAAAAAGAGAAATACCGCATAAGGACCACTAATGAAAAAGACTAAGAAAGAGAACCCATACTAAGGGGGGTTTGCTGGTTATCAGGATGTAGGGGGTAGGATGAGGGGTTGTCGTTGTTGTCAGGTGCCATCGAGTCGGAACCGACTCATAGCGACCCCATGCACAGCAGAACGAAACAATGCTCGATCCTGGGCCAACCTCACC